CTGAATTTTACAAAGTTGCCACTTCCTTTGCAATTTAATGCCCTCAACTGAATTTCTAATTCCTTACCCATCCACCCACACCACCCCAAACCCTACCCAATCAATCGGACTCTAAGGGTGTATTTAGTAACCATTTTATTTCTGGAAATAATTTCTACTCAGAAATGACTTTTTTTAATTTCATTCCCGGAAACAATTTTTAAGCATTTAAATATGTTTTGTAACTGTTCACAATTTTTATTCCTGAAATGGAAAAAGAATAGAAATTCATTTGGTAACTGCACAAAATTTCTTTTTATTAATAATATTTTGATTTTATTAATATTTCCTTTTTTTCCCTTTTTTTTTCTTTTCTTTTTTTCTTCTTCCCCTTTCTTGGCCCATGGCTAGGTCGCCGGCGCCGGTGACCGACCACAAGCCAGGGTCGGCGAGGGCGACTCATGGCTTGGGCGAGGGCAGTCCTCGCGGCTTGAGTGAGGGTCGCCCTCGCTAGATCTGACGAGGGCGGCCCACGCCCAAGCTGTGAGCCGCCCTTGCCGAATCTGGCTAGGACGGCGGCGAGGGCGACCCTCGCTCAGGCTGCGAGCCGCCCTCGTCGAATTTGGCGAGGACAGGGGCGAGGTCTAGCCCTTGCCCTCGCCGACGGCCAGCTCAGGAAAAATGAAGAAGACTGCCAAGAAGAAGAAGAAGAAGAAGAAGAAGAAGAAATTCTTGTCCATTTCTGATTCTTGTTCCCAGAATCAAGAATCAACTTTTTTTTTTATTCTTGATTATGTTCCAAAACTGATTCTGGGAACAAATTTGAGCCCGAGAATAAAAAATTTACCAAACGGATTTTAGTTATTTTTTTATTCCAGGGAACAAAAGAATAGAATCGGGTACTGTTTGGCAAGTTACAAAACAGCCCCTAAGCTCAGCCGCCCACGCCCCCTTTATTGCCAGCACCACCGGTCACCAATTGCCAGGCCAATCTCGCCAACTTGTCATCGACCGCGCTTGGCCTTCAGCTTAGCTCGCAATGATGGATGCTCGAGCTTCAAGTTCGCAGTTACCTTGATTGCTTGAGCTTGACCTCTAAGCTTGTGACTGCTATGATGTCGAGAGCGTGTAGCAGAAATCCGATACTTACTCTAAACCATGCTACTTTTTCACTGTGCAACTTTTCTAACACAGCTTACATATGCATGAAAGCTTGATTTTGGAGCTCCCAAAGGTCACTCGAGCTTGATGTGTAAGGTCGCGGCCGAGGTGGATGCTTGAGCTTCAAGCTCGTGGCCATGGACGACCGAGTTCAAGCTCTATGCTCCCAATCATGGTTGCTTGAGCTTTGAGCACATCCACCATGATCACTTAAGCTTTGGGCAACATAGCTGCGAGATTTGGAGCTCGTGACTATGGCCGCTTGAGCTTTTGGTTTTTGCATGGTTTTGTGGGTTTGATATTTTGTAGGCTTTTAATTTGGTAGAGTTTGAAGGAGGAGGAGGAGGAATTTTTGCAGTTAGATAGAGAAAGAGATAGAGAGGACATTTGAAAAAGAAAAGAAAAGAAAAGAATTCACGTCAAAAAATATTAAATGACACTAACATCAACATAGTCTACCATTGGACTGATTTAGGGATGATTGGTGACACTTTTTAAAAAGTTGATTGGCGATGCTTATGAATAAAAAAAAAATAGAGGAATAGTTTTGATTTTCGGCAAAAAAAATTAAGGACCACCGGTGACATCTACCCTAAAACTATTAAAATTTATTAGCACAGTAAAAAATTTTAGCGAGATCATTTGACCCCATTGATTGAAACCGCCATCCATCCTCGAATCTGTATCATATATATAAGATGATCACACGTGTCACTGCCCGAGGTCGGGCAGCTCATGCAAGGTGATGCCAAGGGTTACGCGACCTCATTGACCTAGACTCGTGATCGTCAATGACTCTCGGCGACGCTCGGTGAGCCTCGCACAACCCTTGGCAAAGTGTCAAACCAGGGACCCAGATTTCGATATGAAAGGTTAGTTCAAGAGAGGGAGACGATGAACAGTGATTTGTGACGGCAAAAGTGGAATATAAAATTAATAGTGAGAGTAAAGTTGGAAAAAAAGTTCATTAATCCTGAAAAGCTGCATTTTCGAAAATGCAAAATGCCTTTGCTAGGTAAATTTTGCATTGGTTTAAAGTATATTGGAAATGCTAACTTTGACTTAAAGGTCTTTGGGAATACTGAACCAAACGAACCCTTAATATAGACTAATATATGCTAGACCTCTATGTACTCATGGTATCTGGAGAACTCTCTTGGGGAAGAAACAGAATCATAAACTAGTTTATTCAGAAAGACAGTTTTGAAGCCACCTCTTTTTTTTAGTATTAATATTGGATATCTAAACCATCTAATTTGGCAAATTTCTTGCAAGTGTACATAAATCGCCCCAATCCATGTACACTAAGGGAGGCTTCATTAATTGGTTGTCAGCTGCGACCTCAAGGTTTATCTTAGTAGGAAACACTATGATTTAAACACATGATCTATCACATCCAAATCAACCCCTTAATCACTCAATCAATCCCTTATTTCGAAAGCTTACGCTGCCAAACAATGCCGCGCGACCCACCCATGGGTAGCTCAGTTGGTTAAGGCGTACTTCCCAGGATCGTAGTTAGCAAAAGGCAGACCTCACGGGTTCGATTCCCACCGAAAGACTTGTGATTTAAGTGGGGGCCATGGCGGTGGGTTCTTTGCTTAATTTCCCCCGAGGAATAGTCGAGGAGTGCGTTGCAAGGTGGCCACCTCGACACCTCGAAAAAAAAAAAAAAACAATGCCGCGCGTCATGATTAATCTCACTACTTAATAATATGGATGAACATGTCCCCTAAGCATGTGGGACGAAAAGCAAAGAGTGCATGCGTGCATGGAGATTTTTAATAGGTCAGAACCACTAAAGACGGAATGATTGGCACAATCTGTGTGTAACCGTGGGTCTTACGAAAACGATGGAGATCTACAAGTCTCGCAACGCTGCAAGTGGAGATACATGAACTACTCATGACATGCGATAAGCTTCAAGTAGAAGGAAATCTAATATAAATTGCTCTCCAGAATCTCAATAGGGTTATGCTTCGTAGACAGGGAATGTTTTGGCGAAATCAATTGGTACAAGTCGATATCGATTGCTGGTAGCTTCCTAGACGAGAAAGACGTAAGCAGGAGAGAATGGGTAATAATGACAGCTTGAGAGAAGCCTTCCATGAAATATAAAAAAGGAAGTCCTGAAATATGATTTTTTTTTCCCTTTAAAAAGGAAGAGAACGGGGCGGTATGATCGTCACAAAAATTGATTGCGCATGCATAGGTCAGAAAAATTATCAAGTCAGTCCTAAAATTATTGCACGGATGTCAATTTTGTCCAAAATATTTCAATTTTGCCGATTTAGTCATGAATCTTTACACGAAATTCCTATGTAGTTCTTCCAGGAAATCAACATGATTGTCCAGTTATTGCCGATTATCTTATGTGGCATACCGCAATGTCAGCAATTTCCGGTGAAAATTGGCCGGAAGGATTACAGTGGAATTTTGTGTAAAGTTTAGGATTAAATTGACAAAATTGGAAAGTTAGTATCTGTACAATATGTTTTTGTTTAAATAACTTTCTCGGCATAAGTCTAATGGTTAACATAAAGTGACATTTGTATAGGGGTTTAATACAACGAGATCAAGTACTCCTAAATATGTAATGCCGGTTTAAAATCCTCATTGAAAATGTAGTGCACGAGTCATGAGCTCGATGAAATTTTCGGATCATGTAAACCTATGCAAACCCCATATGATATGAATCCAATCGTCGAATGGTTCATATATATACTCTATGCTTCATACGCATCATAAGTATGCAAGTATTGCTCTCGGTGTTGGAGCTTGTTCCAAACTAATGTTGACCAGTGAAGGGGAATTTACCATCAAAAGTAGGGAAAAAGAAAAGACGACATGCTTTTTTTGCGCAAAGTCTTTGTTCGGCGAAGAAAAATTTCATTCGTAGCTAAATGAGTACAATATATACAAGCACCGAATGACATCAAACCCAATACCCCAATTGAGGAGATCATCAAGAGAAAATCCAAGTCCAAGTTCAAGCCCATTAACATACCTGGTTATATTCACGTTCACTCAAAAACTCGATCCAAAAGTTCGGGACAAGTTATTGCGTAGGAGGTATTATTTTACCGTAGCCCAATAAAAATTCTCATGTCATCGTTTGAATCACAATGAAGATGTTATCCCGCTCTCTTCGCTTTTCACACAAAAGGGGCAGACAAAAATGGATTTGAAGGGAGTGAAGGGGTATAAGTACAAGACCGGTTCATACAACACTGTATGAATTAACTTACAAAATGGACTTGAGGAGATAGACAAAGCAATTCTACAAAGTATCGGTACTGCAGCACACGATTCTCCTCGTTAACCTCATTTCAATTTGGCTTCATATTTCAATTAGTCGAGTAGGCATTCTATCTCCAAGGATTTAGATCATTTTTTTCTTTGATTTACTTTTTTACTTTAAGCCATTTTTGGTGACGACTTCACTATTATTATAGAACTAGTGAAGCCGACGGCGAAAACAAAAGTTCACTGAAGAAGGTTTTGATTGATAAATCAACTTCGAGTTGGATCGATGAGACACAATCATCAATTTCGGCATGTGGTTTGCGGGGTTTCACATGAAGCAATAGGTTTTGGGCAGATTCTGAAGGACCACCCTGAAAACTGGAATGGAGATGAGATGACCTGACCCCATTGCTTCTCGACTTTATTGCAATTTCAATTAGAATCTGACATTAGTTTAGAAATCAATTGAGCTTGCCAAATCCCAGGGGAGGTCATTCACATGCAAAACGAAACCTACCAAATCCTAGCAGAAATTTCTCCTTTTCATCTCTTTTTTCATTCCTGAAGTACTTTTACAGACCAAAAAGGCGGACCATAGATACATTACACCGAAATTACTGATACAACGCTTTCAATGAAAACAATGGGCACATGAAAAAGCCTCCAGATCCATAACTTTACAAGAAAGTGTAACGAGTTGCAAACCTTCATCTCGTGTGTGCAGACGTGGCCGGTGACATCCGAATTGATGGATATCTTCTCCAGTACAATCTTTTTATCCATCCACCCAAAATGGGAATGCCATCAGTGTATGGGGCCGACGCCAATTTCCTTTTTCTTCCCATGCATTGTCATTCAGCATGTGATCCACAGCGATGACGACAACGACAACATGCCGAGTGATTTGCTCAAGGAGTTCCAACCATTCAACCCCCTTCATTATTGGCTTAAGCTGGTAGCTGAAGCTTGGCATTGTTCTTCCAACTACAAAAAAGGAGGGAATCTCACGTCACTTGTACAGCTATATTAGAGCAATAATTATCTGAGTGGTTTCACTTTAACGACCTGATAAAGTAATAGTAGAAGAAATCTGCATAAAGAGCAGTCTGGACAAGCCCCGAGATGCAAGCTGATGAACAAAGAAAGATGATCAATTGTTCCACTTCTGAACAATAATTGCAATTAGAATCCCAAAAGTTTAACAAGAAAACCTTACCTATCCATCGACTGAAATGCTGCTCGGTGAAATAGCGATATATCCAGTTGAGGATGTAGAAAACTCGATAAGCCCTGAAAGGTGGGAACAGAATTTAAGAACATTATATAACGCCAGCATATGGAAACACGAGATGAAGCAAATACAAATTCTTTACCAAATCAAAGGAGCCAAGTAATCCTAGAACATCCTACTGAAAATGTGCTAAGTACTACAAAAGCTGCAGATAGCTTATCTCAGCAGATTTTCTATGTCATCCTCTTTCTCCTTTGTGCTTGACGAAGGCAAGATATAAAAGTTAACCAATACATGGTTAAATACATCATATACTGTGATCTCCAATATAATATGGACATAGAACAGGTTCGAATCTCCTTGCCAATTAACATGGTTCAGTTTCTTGGATATGGTAACAGGCACATATTACCTTCAATACAAAACGGATTGCAGCTCAATCTTTGGGACCTATTCTATAAATTTTGGCATTGTTGCCGTTAGAATTAAATAGGTTATTGCAAGATCTGTTAATACAAAATTGTTGGCTTCAGAAGGCTTATCCATTAGTAAAAAGGAGAAATGGCTTTCTTCAATACACTAACCATGGTTTGGACTGTCTGGCAACTAGTGAGAGATGAAGAAGCTTTTTTTCTTTATTAGTGATAAACTTTTAGGCACGAAGCCTAAAGATCATTGTCAATAAATGGAAAGATAAGAAACTAATGTGAATGTGATTAGACATAAATGGACAGACACAACATGAGGCTAAGTCCATAGTCGCTATTTTTATTTGCGATGGTTCATCCCAAGTTCTCATCATAAATTCTACTTACCACTAAAAGTCACAAGGAGCTGAATAAATGGAACGCTCCAGATGAAACACCACCAACATTCATTAGCAGGGAGAGAGAATGGAGGGGGGCTGTGACTGTCAACTGGTAAACACAGAACGTGAACTTTGCAATCCTAAGCTAAAAAAGGTTCTTTAGTACAGCTCACCGAGGCCAAAGAAAGAACTATCCCCAGAAATTACTCCCACCAACTTTCAGGTTACCTTTTCTCATCAGAGACTTTCACTTAGCTCATCAGTGGAGCGATAAGATTTTCGCTTGTTAATCCGAAGAGTTTCATTCTCAATAAATTAATGATCGACAGACTCACTCCAATAGGCATATATTTCAGGGGGTGGGAGAAAAGGGATTAAACAGCAACCACATGAGCCAGAAATTGCATGTACTCAGTGACTAACAGATGTTTGGAAATCTGCTTCAGGTTTTAGGTAACACCAAGGCAAAGATAGGCACAGGGATAACTTGCGGGAATAGCCCACCTTTACAACTTCTCAACTTATAAAGGATAAAATACTGGTCGCTGAACTCTTTGATTTAGGATGATTCTAAATTTTAGTGTTGACATAGGATTGCAAATGGAGTTCCACATGATAAAAGGAAGTAAAACTACATCTCCACGTCAGTTTTTTTCTGTATTATGTGCAAAGTTCGTTATTCAGTAAAAAGAAAGATACTTAACCCCAAGAGATTGCTCAAAGTTAAGTGTGTTCTTTTTCCTTGCTCAAATTTTGAGTTCAAATCATTACATCTTGCATTTTCTTAGCCATCTATAGGATGATTCAGTTGTATGCTTCGATAAATTTCCAGTACTCGTGGGTTAGGGAAATATACACTCAATGGGAATTAGTCGGTGCTCAGAGAAACTCCAAACACCCTGTTGTCAGCAAAATGAAGGGAAAAATAGAACGAGAAGAACTCTTTCAACAGCAAGACTATGCATGCAATGATAAAAGATTTATTATATTCGAGTTGATATGTATTCCATGATCAAAAGGATTTGGACAGATGAGGCTTGACCAAGTTATCAAAACACAAAGAAAGGACTCGATAACATCACAAGATGGGCTTAGTTAAACCTTAAAAAGAAAAAGATAGGCTTAGATTAGAAAGAAATTAACACCCCAAATACGAGTAACAAGGGAAAATATAAAAGTATGTTATCCAAAAAGAATAGGGGAAACTTAATAACAGGGGCCACAATACGAGGTAGTTCCTGAGATTAGACTTTTTCTCACCGAATATTGTAAGTGGATGTCTATGAATTAGGTAATTAGAGTACCACTGGTGCAGAGGAACATCAACAGAACATAATGAAAGAGAAGCAAGAAAAACTCCACTTTTAACTGAAAGCATGTAAAATATTAAGAGATATACACACCCAAGAAAGAAGACATATTGCCCTGTTAAATTGTCAACATTGCCGCTTCGTTGTAGTAAAACTAACTGGGGAAGGATTGCAACAGCCTCCAAATATATTGAAAACGCCCAAAAGATCTGCAGTACAATTAATAAATGATCTCAGATAGCAACTTAACGGTTCAAATAGGCAAGAACGCGACAATCTCATAAGAGATCCTGAAGTGTAGTAATAACGTAGAAAAATCAAGTCTAATAGGAAAAACTCAGGGAATGTAATGCACTTAAAGTAGGATTTCAAAAAACACAAAACAATTGTCTAGAAAGCATTTTGATCCTTCTCCCCATTTCTTTTTCTGGATTCTATTCCAAAGGAAAAGATTCATAGATTAACTTACCGTGCATATTCCTATTTCTTGTTTCCCTTTTGTTTCCAAAGGAAAAGAATCGTGCATAAACTCACAGATCACCAAAAAATGATTACAACATGATTGTATCACTTCTTCTAGGCTTCCAAACATTGAAACTAAACATATGGAGACAACAGCCACTGAGCCCTTACGAAAAATGCTGTAACAGAGAAGTTAAAGGCTACAAATTGTCCCACAAAGGACCATGAAGAATCACGAGACCATCTGAGACCATCTGTTTCTCCCAGCATTAACCAAGAGGTGGTCCCAGGAGAATCACGAAACCAATCCATCAATTACAAGTTTGCTTTGTGTAGGCCATTCCAACACCCTCACATTGATATTGGCGGCTCTTAACGGCACATCAAGGCCCTAAAATGATGGCACTAGGTATACACTTACGCTGGAGGAGTCATCTTTTCCCATACAATGAAACAATTACCCTCCGAGACCCAACAGCAGAAACAACTAGCATAGACAGCGTTTTCTAGATTTCTAATGCTTTGTTTGGGGAGAGGAAAGTGTGGGAGGGGAAGAAAAATTATGTTGAACATAACTGTAAACAAAGTTACAGAGTGGGTGCTAGAATTGGTAGTACTAATATAAACAAACTTTCATTTTCATTGCATCTATGATGCTGAACTAGACCGTTTTGCTTATTATAACATAAACAACAATAGTAATATGGCCTCTACTATTAACAGAATTTGTTTTCCACTGAAGACACCTTTCTGACACAGTCTCCTAATTTAGAGATAACCATGAGAATTGCTGGAGAAAATGACAAGGACAATATTTATGCGCCAGATATCACGAACCATGATACGGTACATTGGCTCTATTTTATGGCACCCTAGTAATTTGGAACATGAAAATTGACATTACCATCATCCAATTTGAGACTTTCTATTGCTTCTCGTTCAAAATATTGGTAATTTACTTCTAAGACAAGCAAATGCCATGAAAAGGCAGTTAGAGATTTTAGTATGTTAAGCAGTCTTTCGGATGTGCATAAAACATATTAGAATGTGCATTGTCCTAAACATGGCTAAAAATGTAATTTTTAAGTCAACAAGAAGTAGCCTACCCACTCCACACCACACTTCATTGTACAGAAGAAGCCCACATCATATAAAATAGCCCTCAGCATGATCAGAAGGCCATAGATTCTTTTACTCTTTTGGCCACCAAAGGCCACTAATTCCACGAATGGCTATATTTATTCAACGGAAATTAAGTTGCCGATCAATTATTTTCATAACCCCTCCTGCAGCTACTAAGAGTGCGTTGGGATTGACTTAAACAAAGCACTTTTTTGGTTTCCAGGCAAATATTTTCTCTGTTGCCCAGATGAGAAAGTAAATTTGAATTTTCAGGAAAAATCAATAATTCTAAATGACTTTTACTGTCAACATTTGTGAGTTTTCACAGCTTTTTGGGGTTCTATGTTAAATAAGACATAAACTTCAACACTGACAAAAGCTAGAGCAAAAGGATTGACTCCAAACAAACACTATGTTCACAAGCAAATGCCAAAGGTAGATAAGTTCAATTAAAGAACAAATAAGTAGAGCTACAGCTTGTAAAATATCTACTATCCAAGCAACTAATAAGCAAATTAATAAGGGTTTGCAATGAAACACGGAGTGAGGAGAAAACAATGAGAAAAATGTAAACCCAGGCACCGACTTATCCCCGGCAAAGCTTAGAAACGTCAAACCTAGGAACATCACTGGCAAATATCACAGAGAACTCAGTATCCAACCTAAAAATCACTCCCGAAGATATAAGCACAGAAAAGGAAGCACATTAAGGTAATCTAAAAACGCAATTGTTAATGCAGAGGAAAAAGGAACCTGAAATGAATTTGATGAGGACCAAAAGGAAGAAGAATCAGAAGTCAACTAGGATGAAGACAACCCTAGCAACAAAACACACTAACAAATTGCAAAGGATCGTGTGTCAAAATGTCCGTGTCCAGTATTGCCCATGAACGGTAGATATGTAACATGCAAGTCTCAAAAGATTCCAGCAAACGTTCTACACAAGTGGTTCCAACCCCCACTGAAACCTCTATCTCCAGTCATCAAAATTAACCCGAAACATGCGAGAGAGAGAGTTGAATACGTGCATTTACCTCCTGAAAAGTGAACTTCTCGTGAACGAGAAGCGCCAGCACGAACGCGGCCAGCGCCAGAAAATAGTGACGGAAGGTGTCGAGGTCCTTGTTATAGCTACGGCGCACGACGGGATGCATCCGCATGCACCACACGATCGCGAGGGAGCTCCCGATGAACACCAGCTTCATCACGGTGTTGTACACCGAGATGAAGTCCGTGAACAGATCCAGGTACCGCGCCAGGAACACCAGCGCGTAGAGCTCCTGCGTCTTCAGGGAGATCCCTGGTCAAAGCCGCCCGGAACAGAAAATCAAATCAGCCGGAACCCAAACGGCGGTTCGATTCGACCTAGGCAATTCGCCGAGCTTCGCGGATTGGAATCGAGCGCTTACCTGAGCACGACCTGGTGGCGTAGATCTTGAGGAGGAGGACCAGGATGCTGGTCAGGTGGGTCATGTCGCCGGCGAACCTGAATACGTTCATGGCGATAGAGAGAGAGAGAGAGAGCAGAGACGAGAAGCTTCTTCGACTGGTTTTTCTTGGGGGGGTTTTGCGGCGGCGGCGGGTGGTGGTGGTGGTGGTGGTGCGTTTGGAGCGTGAAGGGGGAAGCGAGATCGAGGAAGGAGGAGAAGGCTGACGTGGCGGCCGGAAACGGCTCTTCCGGGGGGTGGGGCCCCACCGCGGCGTCCGACGTGGCGAGTGGGTAATGTTCGCCTGTGGGCACTAACGACGCCGGGGGAGATTTGCAGCCGTTGATATGTCTGCACGCGGCAAAACTGACGACCGTCGCCTGAGGTCGGGCGAACTCGATGTTCCCGTGACCTGGGTTGTGTCCACGAAGCTTGGTGATCTTGCTGTCCCGTTCGCAACCGCCACCTAGGGTCGTGCCACCTCGGCGTCTCGTCGCCTTGGTTGAGTCCATGAAGCCGGTCGGCCCCCTAGATCTTCACTTGAGTTGAGTCCATGAAGCTCGATGACCTCGTCGTCCCGTCTGAAGCCCTTACATAGAGTCAACTAATCTTAATGACCCGTCACCTAGGTTGTGTCCATGAAGCTCGTCGGCCCCCAAATCTTCAATTGAGTTTAGGCCATGAAGTTCGACGTCCCGTTAGTAGCCCGTCGCCTGGTGTTGCGCAACCTTAACCGGCCATCGCTTGGGGTCGCAAACACCAACATCACCGCCTGGGGTTGCACGATCTCAGCGGCCCTTGCCTAGGCAACCTCGACAGCCCTTTGTTCTCCATTTTTTTTTATTCTTTTCTCATTTTAAAACTTATTTTGCAATCATTATTTTACAAGTTGTTTATGAAATACTATTTGCTTTTCATAAAAATCCTTACTTAGCGAATTTAGGATCTGTTTGTTTTGCTGAAAACTTCCTGTCACTGAAAATATTATCATTATTTAAAGAAAGTGAACCGTTTTCCGGTGTTTGTTTGTGCTGAAAACAAGTAAAACGAATTAGTTTTATGGTACTTGATATTAAGAGAAATCCACTAAAGACAACTTTTATCATGAAAAAAATATGTAATGATTAACAAAATGGAATTAATATCTTTTTTTTTAATTTTATAATCTATCAAAGTAACATGAATTGTGAAAAAAATTAGAATATAAACAGTGAAATCCTTTTTGTAAAATGTATATGATCATGTTTTTTTTTTTAAAAATATAGAAGAGCGTGAGCATTAATGAATCAAAAGAAAAAGAAAAATAGTTGATAAGAGATAGGAAATAGACATAGAGGAACCCATTCTTCTCATTTGAACAAGAAGTAAGAAATCATGGAAATTGATTTCTCTCTCACCTAAAGGAGAAGTAATTTTCTCCAAACTAAGTTTGTTATTTTCAATCCATAAAAACTGTTTCCATAGTTTTTGGTCATTCAAATGTTGAAAAATCTAAAAACAATTTTCATCTAACAGTTGACCCTAAATGATTTTTTTTACTTAACTGCTTTATTAACGATAAAACTAGTCTGGTCATCGAACATACTTTATTTTAGTAAGGCTATGTATGTTTCGCAAAAAATGAAGTATTTGAAAAATATTTTTCAAAAAATAACCACTTATATTGTTTGAAATAATTAGGGTTAATACCACCAAAAATCCAAACTGGTACACATGTGACAAATTTACCCCAAACTAATTTTTTTACCATAAAAAACCTCAAACTGGTACATCCGTGACAAATTTACCCTTCGTTAGTTTCTATTAAATTTTACTGTTAAATTGCTTTGTTAAATAACACGTGGTAGTTGACGGATGTATCAATTTTGGGTTTAAACTCTGTTTACCTGTTTGTGATTTTTTGTGGTATTAATCCAGTTTAACGAAAACTAACGGAAGGTAAATTTGTCAAAAATGTACCAGTTTGAATTTTTGGTAGTCAAAAAATTAGTTTGAGGTAAATTTGTCATATATGTACCAGTTTGGGGTTTTTGATGGTATTAACCCAAATAATTAGCTAATGAAAAATGTTTTATTATTGACAACAATTTATATCTAAACATTTCCGTGGATAATGAAAATATTTTTCGTTCATTCATTTTTTGTAAACAATACAAGAAAGAAGATGCATATGACCATATGGATGAGTGTAATATGAAGACCAATTTCCTAGCTGCATATTAGAACATGATGCAGCCAGTTCGGGAAGAGAAATTTTGGAAAAAGACTAATAGGGAGGTACCTGAACTACTTCCAATAAGGGCGAAACCTAGTAGACACAAACAGAAAAGAACAAGAGAGGAAGGTGAGGTCGCAAGTGGTATTAAGATGTATAGGAATGAAGATGACATGTCGAGGTTGCAAGAAGAAGGGACACAATAGTTTGAAATGACCACTAAGAAGGTTGGGTTAACGGCAAGACAAAAAATTTCGGTAAGTACTTCCATTTTGTTAGATTTGCATTTTTACTAACAAAATTTGTGAACTAATTAAACTAATAATATTAGGTTGAGAGTACTGGTGCCAGAGAGGATAAGAGATAGAAAGTTTATATACAAGAACAGGTTAAATCAACATCACAAGGAGCTTTAGTTTAAGTTCTGGTTAAAGTAGTAGGGCCATCAAGAAAGAAGAAAAATATTGAGACAAAACAACTAACCTACAAAAAGTGACAGGATTAGCAATATTTTCAAAGTCCCAGCTAGAGGAACATTGTATAGAATGATAGCCATTTGTGGGGATAGGGTTTAGGAAAGTGCTGTGGCTGTTTTTTTTTTTTTTATGATGGGCTTAGTCAATTGGTGTTGTGGCTCTTTTTTTTTTGTTGTCACCGATGGGTTTAGTGAAATAGTGTTGTGGATTTTGTTTTGTTTGTCGATGATGGATTGGTTCAGTGAAGTTGTGTTATTTTTTTTTGGCTCGATGATGGCTCATTAACTTGGTTGGAAGTTCGGTGAAATATTGTGCTTGCAATCCCTTATTTATTGCAATGAAATGTGCTTGTTCATTATGATAAATTGGGGTTGATCAGTTATCTTTATTGCTAGTTGTTGCATAAATTACAACAAGTAAAATAAATGCTTAAGTTGAAGCATGTGCTACTAGGATAGTTGAAATTCAATTTTATCCGTAAATGAATCATTGTTTAGCTATTGAGATGTTGCCAAAGTGAACTAGACAAAGACTTAATACCCCCTGTAGATGATACAAGTAATAAATGCTTAGTGAATATGTATGTTATAAGAAACGGATTTCTTTTGTCCCTGGTAGCTTCTCTTTTTTCCTTTGAAACAAGTGTCACTCAGGCCATGAGATTTCCTAACTTATCTTATAAGCAACATTTGTTTTCAGACATGATTTGGACTATTAAAGACCACAAACATCATAAAGAACCTTCACTTCCACAAATATCATTGCCAAACGCCATAAAGAACATTGCCACAAACATGTGTGCTTTTCGAACCGCAAACAACCTTCACTTCATTCATCCCACAAACAGAGTGCATGTACATGTACAAAACATGTCAACGAATACAAAACATGTTCAAATAGAGTGTGTTATTACTATAAATATTAACAACACAACCAACATTATCTTCAATATGGAATTTTCTTTCTTCAGGTTTGCCGAATCCCGTTTCACATGTTTCAGTTGTGCCTTGAGAGCTTTGACTTTAGAGTCAATTGAACAACCATCATTATCATTATGGGTCGATATTGGTTCTTGTTCGACATTGCTCTGGTGAAAACTTTTGGACACACTCCTACCGCCTGACTGATTTCCCCATTAACCTAAATAAAAAAACTGCAACTTTCCCTCTGTTGTTGTGGTTGTATCTTGGATAATCGTGATATCATCCTCCCTGATTGTCCTTCATCCTTGTTGTTTATAGAGAAGATTTGAGGCCACAATAGCAAAACATGACGTATGGTTATCGATTCGAGGGACCGACGTCACCGATTGTGCCATCTACAAGGGAAAAGTGAGGATATCATAAGATTAAAGAGAATCAAAAGGGACACTTCCAATAGTCAAGACAGTGAGCAAACATGATGGATAGATAAATAGATGCTATCACTAAGAACACTTCGAGTGAGCAAACATGATAAATCAAGTAAACCATTTTACCCTCTTTATCTTTCTTATTCTCAACCAGATCATTCACGTTATTGCTTTATATTGAGAAGGACATACTATTCCTTTAATCTGCCATGTATCTATTCACACTCAACTTGGTGGCAATACAAAATACAGAAGCAAAAAGGTAACAAAATAATGATAGTGCATAACAAAAACGATTCCATAAACAACAACTTGATTGATCGATTATATTCTTGGCGACCCATAAGATATGACATATTGTTTCCATATAATGAATTGAAGTAAATATTACAGACTTATATAAGCCAAGTTATAATTAGATTGATGTGCCAATAGCCTCAGATCAAGCATGAATGGAAAACGCGAACACCTCAAATGACACTGATCTAATCATGTGAAGTTTAACATTGAACGATATTACTATTGAACTTACTTTCTGTTATACACATGCATTCTTAAATCACTTAGGCATTTTATTGAACATATTGAATAGTACTCGGATAATGATCCTATACGTGATACTAGAGCGATGTTTCAGTTAAAAGTATCACAAGCCGCGAGCTCAATTTATCATAGTAGCTTCATTCGTGATCGATTTTCGCACAAACAAAACTATAGATCTCGGGCTCTACTTGCGTATAAAAGAGCCAAAACAGATTCCATTGCAAAGTGGGAGAGTCCAAAGGAAGCATACCTTTATGTCATGTTTGTTGAGTGCTGACAACACAAGCGAATCGAGACCACACACTTTGTCGTGTTCGCTGTAGAATCTTGAGGTTGAATCGGGTCATGACTCTTGACCAAAAAAAAAAAAAATCGGGTCATGACTGGTTATGGGTGAATCAAGTCTACAATTTGGATAGGTGAATGTGGGATTCAAATGGATGAAGGTGTCGGGATGAATGGGGGAGCTAATTTGATGAAAGAATGACTCGGCTTGAGCGAAATCATTTGATTTAAGCCAGTGAGATCTTAGTAATCTCACTTAGGGCTCTTTCATGGGTGAGCATTCGAATATTTAGGGCAAGAAAGGAGAGAAGCAATAACGTAGAACGTCTAGGGTTTTTTTTAATTGATGAAAACGACGCCGTTTTGATCTCCAATGTCGACAGACCAAAAAAAAAAAAATCTCCAACGACCATGTCAGCACCGGTCGTTTGTCGATAAGCCACTTAGGACGGCCGATGCTGACTGGTTATCCATGTAAGTATTTTCAGAGGCAAATTGGTCGGATGGACTCAATTGGTAAATTGTCAATAGATTTAGAACTCAATTGGCAAAATATAAAATATTAGGACTAAATTGACAAAAAGTGCAATAGGTTTAGGATTTTTTGGACAATTATCCCAAATCATAAACGATTCGAACACTTTAGAGTAAACTTGTCCAAACAAATTTTAAAGAGCAATTCTAGAACCAAGACAGCAAAAAAAAAAAAATTCAGTAGTTGGTTTCTTGATTTGGTCGAATTCAATCTTTTCAAAGGACAACTTACTATATGGAGAATTTAAGATCTTGGGATTCAGCTAATGGCTCCGTAAAACAAAACGACTTCACTGAGTAATGACTAGGTGCATCTTCAACAGCAATTGATTTAGATGGTACAACTAAAGTACAAGATTCTAACCCGAATAGATAACGACACGACATCTTACCATTGAAGAGAACGTGTAAGTATTAAACGATCGAGAGTAACATGAGCACCTTTTTGTCCATATGATTTCACGCAAAAAGAAAAAAAAAATCAATGTACGGGCCAAATTTGATAGGAACTTGACATCTTCCATGAATTAGCTTGAAACTATCATTGGCAAATGAAGGATTGACTAACTTATTTAGTTGTCAAGTTTTAGTGTCCGAGCGATTTGGTTTTCTAACTTTTATTTTGTTCAATCAAGTCCTATAACAATTTGGATTCGTGGGATTTAATTATCTAAGTTTTATGCTGTGCTATCAAAGCTCTTGGTCAACCACTCTAACTCAACCGGCGAATTAATTAATGATGCGGCGTTGCTTATGTAATGGAAAATGACACGTCATGTTGATTTGGCGCCAAATGAGTATAAAACAAATGAGAAGAACGAGAAAAAAAGAAATCCTAATTTGATAGTACTTGTTACATGAGGTAAACAAAACACTTGATTGCTTGAATAAAGAAAGTTCGGATTTGATTGCATGAAACAAAACTTAGAGGACCAGATTGCACAAATTCAAAAGGTTAGAGAACTCGAATTCGCAGAATGAAACTTTTAGAAGACCAAATTGCACAAACGCTAGAGCTAGAGAGTTACATCTGTACTTAGCCTGTAAATGAGCTTTCACAGGGATAAGGATGCGATTTAGGAGTAAGGTTCAAAGGTTTAACAAGTTAATCTGTAATAATATTCAAACAACAACAGTTAATAAATGAAATATTTTACATACAAGCCCCTTGTACAGGTTGCGTGCTTGAGCGCTCTCTCAGTAGCTCTAGCAAAGTATCGATGACAATTTGTACTGTCCTGAACAATCTTCAAACACTCTATCTGATCAAATTTATATGCTGTCTATATGAGGCGAGCAATGCGCTGACTTATATACGAGGTAGACGCGATCAGATCTAATATGTATACGCCTAGCTACGCGTACTATATATGTCGTCCGAACGGACTACCGACACGTATAATTATCCAATTCTTGATTATATGAAGATAAATTTAAAATGGGCAGACCGCTAAAACTATGCTCACTCTGCTGTATATTATTCAACTGGGGCTGCACACTGCAGACTCGCTACCAAGAACTCACCAGATTGAACTGGTGCCCACCATAATCATGTCTATAGGCACACAACACAGAAGAGGGTGCTGAGATATAGACGTTGTTTGTGGCATCATCCATCGTCGCCGACTTGGCGAGTTCATCGGCATATCCAGTAGCTTCCCGGAGGACATGTCTCGGCCCGCGCATGGCTCGAATCTCCCGTCAAAGGTCTTTCATTCATTAAGAATGGAGAGGACGAGAGGGAGTTGCTGGGCACGTACGTTGTTCCGACAATTAGCAAGCAGGAGCCAATCAGTCTTTTAACTAAAAGAGCTTGAACATTAGAATCAATATCAAACTGCAAAACCATCTCCAAGAGCATAAGTTTCTTCTGCAACAATTACAAGCTTTGCGTATTGTTTCTAGCAGAGTCCTGCACCCATTTTACCTGACATTGCAAGCAAGCGGAAGCCCAGGTTATCGATTTTCTGACCAGACGTACTGCAGAAAGAGGCGAAAAGCCGCATGATCACAGTACATTTTTCCTCACCCGCCTCACCAAAACAGAAAGCGATCGTCCGCGAAGAACAGATGAGTGAGGGAAATGTCTCCTCTAGAGCCAATAAAACCCTTTCCATCACCTCTCTCTCAGCTCGCAATTTCCATAAAAACAGTGAAAATATAGGTAGGGAAACAGTAGGGATAACCGGTTCCAAGCGCAAAGGTTTCGGATCAAGAATCGGAAACCGACGTGCCGGCCTGGAAGCGGACACGGTTCGACTGGGGGGAATGGGTCTAACTTTAAGTAATATGAGTATTGTTTCGGGAAATAGCATCATGCGAACAATACGCGGCATCATGGTTAACGTACTGCTGAATTTTCTAACCATTCCGGTTCGAAATCCATCTCCAGATACTTATCCGTTTTCCGAACAGAGAACCAAAGAAAAGGAGTTGAAAGCCGATTTTATCCGAGAATCCAACTTGTGTCTAGAAACGACCATTCATGATACGGCATACAATTGATTCCCCGATTTCTTATCCAAACCTATCGGTCCCCGTTCCAAACCGATCGGGTAAAGAGCCCGTTTCCCGGATCGAACCGGCCCGTTCCCCCGGCCCTAAGAGATAGGGACGGGACCCCATTTGCTTGATCCCCCCTAGACCATCATGAACAAGGCAACAGCAATTTTTCTCTTTTTATGTTCTTCTTTTTTTTGTCGTTCTTCTGTTTTTTTTGGGGCAAGAAAAGGAAAAAAAAAAGACAAAATGAAAGAGAAAAAACGAAAAAGGAAAACAAGAAGACGACAAATGACCTCTTGCCTACGTGGACACGGAAAACCACTGACCGGCCCCACCTCTTCTTCACCTCTCTCTCTCTCTCTCTCTCTCTCTCTCTTCCTTGTCTTCGTGACTTTCGCTCCTCTTCGTCTTTTTGTGCTTCGCTTTCCCCGCACTCGTACATAAAATCCGCCGAAACCCGCGTCGATTTCACCGCTCCACCGCCGCCGTCCCCGCCGCCGCCGCCGGCGGACCCATCTCTCCCTCCCTCCCTGCCTCGCCGGCTCCGTTGGGCTCCGACCCACCTCGCCGCCTCCGCCGCCGTCGCCGCCGCCGTCGTCCTCCGGTTGGCCCGCCGATTCCGATGCGATGGGCTGTGCCGGATCTCGGGCCAAAGGAGATGGTACGAGCGCCCGACCGTTCTCTTCTTGTTCTTAGCGGTTCTGGTCCGCGTGGGGTCTTTCCCCGTCTCGCTGTCCTGTTGGGTTTTGTCGATCTTGTTCTGCGGGTGCTGGGTTTTGGAGTTTTGGGTTCGCTAGAGCGTTGACTGTGGCCTAGAGCGATGTTCTTGGGGTCGATCGAGTTCTTTCTTGTATCTTGGCGAGCTTAGCGGTTGATCGTCGCCTGCTAGTTCTTGCGCCATCCGTTTTCTTGATTTCGAGCCGCGTCATGACCTTTTTTCCAGTGAATGTGATCGTCTGTTGGGGAGGGGGGATTGTCACTTCAGAGGAGTGTGGTTCGTTAATTTGATGGTTGTAGATTGCATCGGTGTCGTGGAAGTCTCTGTGGATCAACCCCTTGCTGCTTTGCATCAGATAGAGGTTTACAAGGTTGAGGATGTGTGGCACATTGGGCAGCTAGGATATATTCTTGCGGGAGTTGAAGAAGTAAAGAAATCATTTGAATCTGTATGTCAAACCTAAAAAGATTTGACATGACTTATGTATCTATTAACCAAACTCTAGTTTCACCCAAACCCAGTAAGTAGTGTTCAAACTCTGCTCGTATGACAACTTGATCTGACGAGTGAGAATGATTTGGGTGTTTAGTGTACATGATGAAGGCTGAGCAATGTGGCAAAACCCAGAATTTGTTTGTAATGGAGCTATCATGGAAATGTAGTTTGCATATGGCTGCATGACTTTCTTTTCATGTAAAGCACGAAAGGGTTTTGAGCCTGCTGGTATATGCTTCGCTAGATTTCTCCTCACTGCAATTGAACGGCAGTGGGCAGTTATTCTTCTTTACTTTTGTGGAAGTTCACATCGGTCAATCTTTTTCTGACATTCTGTGTTTATGTAGATTGTTAAAATTGGTCAGGTAAGTGCTTTAGATACTGCTCTTTTTGTGACACTTTTGCATGGGATGGGGAAAATTATGTCTAAGAATTTTATACAACGTTAATACCATGTGAAACTCCTTGGAATTGTCTATCCAAGAATTGGTATCAGAACCACTGTTTAGCATCACATTTCACATATAGCTCTGCCTACTGCCAACACATTTATTGCACTTGTTGCATCGTTTTAACTGGAATCTGAACAATTTGATTATATCTCAGTATTTGTATTGTTGCTGACAGACTCTTCTAAGAAAATTAGGAAGCCAAAACCTTGGAAGCAGCCTGAACCAATTACAAGGACACAACTGATGAAGATGCGTGAGGAGTTTTGGGACACCGCACCTCATTATGGTGGGAGACAAGGTACTTCTACATTGTTATAATAAAATGGTGTTAACATATAATGCACGGTAACAGTCCTTCACCTTCACCCGCCCTCCCAATGCTGTGGGAGAGAGGAGAGGACTATGCTTTGCATAAGTGCTAATTTCATTTGACCAAGTTTGAGCAATTTCCTTTTGAATTGTGATATCTCTTGCTCAAACGTGCTGTGTAGCATATTTATCATACTCTTGTTAATTGCAAGTCTAATTATGATCCATTGCATTAGAAATATGCTGTCCAAGGGAAAGCAGGGCATGGCTTACCTTCTTATTTGGGGGGAACTCATTTGCGGTCTTCTTGCGACTAGTTCTATTACAGATGTTAAAAACATGGGAAATAGTTTCACTTGATTAAGTATTGCCTAAATGTCCTTTTACTTTTGGTCTGAATATTTCAATTGAACCTCTCTTCTGGGCATTTTCAATCAAGAATTGGATAATGCCATACTCAAGGATTGCGATGGTCTTTCTTGTTAGCAAGGAAGGAATGAGATTTGAGTAATTACGGGCTTATGTACGCTCATCTATTCATTAAAAAGTGTTTACTATACCTTTGACAATAGAAGCTGGTTTGGTGATGTTTTTTTCTTTAGCTCAGGAATGCAATGAGTGACCTTTCTGATAATATCGCTGTACAGGAAGCTTCCGTGCCGTAGGATTTTCTTATATTTATATTTTTTGGACAGGTGGCTGTGGAATGTAAAGTTTCCTATTTTTTAGTGCTCATTTGTTAAATATTAACTTGATTTACGAGCAGCTGTTGGATAAAGCACATCCAGTAAAATGTCTCGGTTGCTTTTTTGTACCTTGTGAGTGGTACAATACTGATCGCTAGAAGGTGGACTACATGAATTATTTGGAATTTGGGATTCCTTTTTGGAGATTTTGCTTACCTTTTCATTTTTCATATTAAAACTTGTAGAGGCTAGAACTATGATGTGCTTGTTCCATCAGTTTTAAACACGAGGCAGTCTCTTACATGAAAAAAACTTTCTTTGCTGTTGAAATGATTGCGTGGGATGACAAGTCTTGAGGTAATTTCTTGTTACTTCAAGTTGCTTAGAACCATACTTATGTCAAACGCCTTCCATATGATTCTATTAATCTAGAAGATGTGGCACATATTGAATATCAAAAGGTCGCCCAGAATACGAAAGTTTTTAGTAAGTCGAAGAATGACTTGCTATTGAGATTGTCGACTAACATTAATTAATGAAAACCTCTTGATATGATTACATTGAGATTCTTTTCAATTTGAGAAAGTGCTTGAAAACTACCAAGCATGTTGTACTTGAAAATAGCCTCAGGCTACTTCAACTCACTGTAGCCATAGCTAATTTGCCACGAGTCACAATTTTTTGCACTCTTGACAACGCGTTTGTAGTTTTGTTACTGACTGACTGATGTATTGCAGCATGGGTTTGCTCAAGTTTAGTAATATGATGCATGTCCTCTAACACTCGTGGGTTTTGGAAGCATTGCACATCCATCTTCTTATCTACAATGAAGAAACGTTCATAGCAACCTGCTTCTGCATGCCTCAGCGGAGTGGGACGATATGTTTGAAGCACATATTTTGAGCATTTTTTCAGATATGTTTTGGCTGGGGCACAAGTTCAAACCTTATCTTGATGTGCATTTTCAGTGGTGAAACTTTTAGAGAGGCTGAAGATGGTGAAGGAGCTGACGTGAATTGGCATGTCAATATATTGACTCAAATCTTATGTTTTCTGTTGTATATTAACTAACTTCCCTTCAATCTCTGTAGGAATTTATTTCTCTCTCATTTCATATCACTGCTGTATACTTGTTAACCAATTTAACTCTGGCTTTCAGAGATATGGGACGCTCTGCATGCCGCAGCAGAAGCAGATCTAACGCTTGCCCAAGCAATTGTGGATAGTGCTGGCGTGATTGTTCAGAAAGCTGACTTGACAGTATGCTATGATGAAAGAGGTGCTATATCCATCTATTCTCCCAGTCCAATACCCGCTTCTTGCCCACCGCCACCTAGAAATCTTTTCAATCTGTATTGTTCTGTCCATAATCTAATCCATGCGATGATGATTGTTGCAGGTGCGAAGTACGAATTGCCCAAGTACGTTTTGAGCGAGCCGACCAATTTGATTGATGATAATTGACAATGGAGGCAGGGCGGATTTTGCTCGGCTTAGTGTGTAAATCCTGTGAATTGATATCGATAGTTTGGTAAAACAAATTGCATCAAAGTGGAGCGCATTCTGGTATTTTAATGGTGCACACTCCAATACAAGTGTTACGTAACTTTTGCCCCACGAGATGTATAACTTCCACAGTTTCATATGGTTTGTTTCATTAGTAACCAATCCTTCTAAAGAAACGTGAAAAGCAATCAATTCAGGTGATTGTTACAGTGGAAAATGATGACATCCTCTGTTGCTAGACCATCTTTTGCTCTAACTTGGCAGGGTTTGTCAAGCGTATTGACCTTATAATATCATTTGTCTGTCATGCGGGATTGCTGATGGATTCATCTCGTACTTGATTTCAATTTTGGATGTGATTCTGAAATTGAAAACTCTCCCTCTTAAAGGACCATGGACAACATTGTGCACGATGCATGGTCGATTGCATAATGGGGGGAATTGATTACATTGTGCATGATGCATGGTCGAAAATATATTTACATATTATCCGTGAAAGCGCGAGAGATTTTTGCGAAGTTTGAATTTAGCATTATTGTAGATTCATTCGGAGCCATTAGTACCTAATCTGCCAAATTTGTGTCTCTTGATCGACGTCATGCACAAAGTGGAATACGATTTTTCTTCGAAAATTTTTCTACAAGCAAGAAGTTCTTCGAAACTATTGATCATGATGTTCTGATTATATTCATGGAATACGATTCTATGACATTCTTTTGATAGCCTACAATTCGAGCATTTGGCCCCTGATATCTCAAGTCAATTATCCTGGTCACACGACTAGCTGTGAGTCGCATCCAACTATTGTTCATACTTGTCTTACCCAAGCGTGGATCAAAGTTGGTCACCAACCAACGACCAAATTCCTCTTCAACCGGTAAAAAATGAATTCCCCTTCAACGGCTTGGAGATCCAATAGGCACGTGAATACAATTTCTTGTATTGCTTGTTTATGATAATCATCTAATTGAGCAGTCCATCCGATCAATTCTTTGCCAGCGCATCTTGCCACAAATGAACTCCCTACGTTTTAGTGAATGGTCAACATACATAAATGACATTATGAGATTAAGCTGTTAAATATCATCAATCTTTCATCACTTAGATTTTCAAATTTCAGCCTTTAAAAGAATTTGGATAATTACGTGGATCAAAGCCAAAAAGAAAAAACAACAACAAATCTACATGTACGAAAAAAGAATTGGAAAAAAAAATATAAGAAGCAATTTAAGATAAACTACAAAAACGAAAATATCAACAAAAAAACGTGATTGATTGAACTCGAAATTTACGTATCAGTAACCATACGAGCTTGAGCCGTAGAGAATGGCCGCCTCATCTAACACTCCTCTCTTTCTCTTTTCCCCTCTTTCTTCCCAGACTTTCCGTTGCTTGTACTCGCTGACGTGGCCTACAAAGCAGTCTTGAATACTTAAAAGGCACTCGTCTGGTAATTTCGAATTGAGCCACTAAGATCAACATTAAGCAAAAAGTACGTGCATATGTTATAAGAGGTAGAAATAATGCAGTCGATATTTCCTTCTCTCTCCTCAATTGCAAAAATATATATATATTTTAAATTTTAGCCTTTAAAAGAATTTGTACAATCATGTGGAACCAAACTGGAAATATAATTCTGCATATACGAAAAAGAATCACACATTCCTTTCTAGATGGTGAAAACATTGCTAGAAGCAATACAGATGCTTTCATATAACGACAAAAACATGCGAATCAATTCGAGATAAATGACAAAACGAAAAATATCGACAAACAAAATGATGGATTCACCGCCACTCGATCGACCTAATATGTGCGGAGCGCAAACTGAAGGAAGGACGACACACCAAATTATGAGGAACGCTCATAACCATCAAGCCGATAAACATGAAACCCACTTCCTAAAAATCATCTCCAGTATGACCAATCTCGAAATTGTTATGTACGTATCAGTGGCACTAAAAATTGTGGAGATCCAGCGACACCTAACATGCGAACGTTCTTCTTCCCCTGAGAGAAGGGCCGCCCCATCTTACACTCCTCTTTCTTTTCTTCTCCTCTTTCTTCCCGGACTTTCCATTGCTTGTACTTGCTGACTGTCTATAAACAAAGTTTCTTCTAAATTTGGGCAACACGAGAGCCCAAGCCCGAGAGAATGGCCGCCTCATCTTTCTAGCCCGAGAGAATGGCCGCCTCATCTTTCTTTCACTGCTCTTTCTTTTCTTCCCTCTTTCTTCCCGGAGTTTCCGTTGCTTGTACTCGCTGACGTCGCCTCCAAAAAAACTTTCTTCTAAATTTGGGCAGCCGAGAATTAACAGTGTGCACTCGTCTGGTACTTTCCAATTGAGTACGCTAGGGAAACTTCTCAATGACCTGCAATTGACAAATATCAAAATTTTGAGAGCCTCTAGTTCATCCAGGCCCTTAACCGCCAGAAGCTCATAGCAATCTTCAATCCTCAAGGACGCCAGCTTTTTCAAATCCGATAGATCATCTAGACTTTCAATCTTAGGACACCTGTCTATATGCAATTGCTCCAACGACTCCAACGAACCAAGACCTTGGATCGCAGTTAGATTTGGGCAATTGATCAGCGTCAACTGCTTCAACCTTTTCAACCTTGAAAGACCGGCAAATCCCTTGAGGAGTTCTGCAGTTATCACTTTGAATTCAATCAACTGTTCAAGCCCATCGACTTGGACTTCCTTCCAACGGCACGTATGAATGAGCAAATATGTCAAGTTTCTCAAATTGCAATGAAAGGACAAACTGGTTGTGCATTTATGACATTTAAGTGACAATGTTGACAGAGACGGTGGAAGGTGCGTGAGGAATTGTAGCCATGGACCATCTTGTGAGAACAAAGGACTGTTCAGGCCACGACCACTGAAGGCCAAATCCGCCAATTTAGTTAGGCTTGAGAGATTCGGAACCGACCGCAACGAACTTGATCCGAAGCTTAGCCTTATCAAACTTGTGGGAAGCTCAGGCAATTCTTCGAGTTTGCCACAATCACATAATTCCAATTTCTCTAGGTGAGGAAGTAGTTTGATCGTTGCTGGAACATTTCCAATAGGGGTTGATTTCAAGTCAAGGACTCTCAAAAGCGATAATTCCCAAATGTCCTCGGGAATTTCCCATTTCAGAGACCAGCACCTCGTGGCATACAGCTCTTCCAACTCTTTTAGTGCGCCAATGCTCCGTGGTAGCTCCGTTATCGAAGAATGCGAAATATTGATGACTTTTAATCTACTTAGGTCTCCGATAGATTCAGGTAACCGGAGACATTTCGTATGAGAGACATCCAACTCGAGTAGCGATTCCAAGTTCCCAATCGACACAGGGAGTTCCCTTATTTTAGTAAATGATAGATCGAGAGACTTAAGTTTTCGTAGGTTCCCAATAGAACTAGGAAGTTCATTGATTTTTGTATATTGCAGTTTAAGTACTGACAAGCGATGTTGGCTACCAATGGAGTCGGGTAATCTCGTGATGGCCGTATATGAGAGATCCAACTCTACCAATGATGCCACTCTCTTAAATGATTCGGGCAGCTTCTCCAACTTCCTACAATTGCCTAAATACAAGTACTCGAGCTTCTCTAGCCATCCGATTCCTTCGGGCAACTCCCTAAGACTCGTACACCAATTCGCACTGAAGTAAATCAAGCACTTGAGCTTGTCAAGGGAACCATCAACTTCAATCAGACTCTGGCAGTTTTTAAGGATCAATCTCTCTAAACTCGTATAATGAGAGAAGTCTGGAGTCTTGGTCAAGTGAAAGCAATCCATGAGATCCAAAACTTTAAGCTTCTTGGCAACCTGTAACAATAGCCAGAAGAGAGTAGAGCGAAAATTCCGTGCGAATTTAGAGGCAATAAATGGTAGTGCTGAACTTAGATGTAATTGGGTTGACTCATTTTCCTAATTTCACCCACATAGATCCCTTCATCTAATACTCACACCTATCCAACCTGATCCACATATTTACACCTATATATCAATTCAATATAATCTAATTTTATGGCCTTGATTACAATACCAGCATAGTCAGCTTTGTTTTACTTGTGGAATGGCCTTGATTAATCCATTTATGTGCCATTTTATTAACAACAGGTTATTGCCTATATAGTTATGATATAGTCAATTTTAGTTAAAAACATAAAAACTACATGAGACAATTCAATGGAGATAAAGATAAACAAATAGAGCGACCGAGTACCTTGATTTCACTCCATCCAGCCCAGTTCTCGGTGATGGAACTATAAGACAGGTTGAGAACTACAAGATTGCGAGGATGGAAATTGATGGCCAAGAGCTCTCGAGGACACCGATACCAGGACAAGTATCTTAACTCTGAGAGCTGATTCTCAAAGTCTCCATCGAATTGTCCCCCACATAGTTTGAGGAACCTTAGGTTTGGAAGCCTTGAAAACTCTTTGCTTGTATAGGTTTCTAATGCAATTTTTTCTAAACAGATTGCTTCAGTGGCCTCCTTTATCTGTCATCCAACGGTAAAGTAGCAAAAGAGTAAATGAAAAATGTTTTCAAATCTCTCTGCCTCTCTCCCTCTCTATCTAAAAAAGGGCTCCTAATTAATAAATGAAATATCGAGAAAAGTCTAAAATTCGATGGTTGAATATATTGTCTCACCTCTTCTGTTCTTATGATATTATTTGCCATCTTCGAAACCCACAACCTGCTTTGCTTGCTTGGCGTATCTTCACAAACTATTTTCCTCCCGAGATCTCTCAATTGATCATGCATCCAGAATTTGTGGTCGTCAGTTATCTTTATCAAGGACCTGCAGACAAGGACGTCAATAGAATAATTCCCCCCATATCCACAATCTTTCCACATGTAGATTGCATTCATTTGGTCTTCATTCAAAAAGAGACATGCGATGTCGAGAAAGATTTGTTTTTGCTTGTGATTTAGGGCATTGTAGCTGATCTTCAGCTTCTCCTCAACCCTCTCGTTTGGTATTACCCTCAAATCGTCTAGTACATCCATCCACGAGGCTTTCTTTTGACGATAAAGTAATGAGCCTATGACTTCAAGAGCCAAGGGAAGTCCTCCAGCCGTAGAAACTACTTTTGTCGACAGACCGACATAATCATCTGGAGGAGGATTTCTTCTGAAAGCATGTCTATTGAAAAGGTCAAATGATTGAATGGAATCCAATGGCTTCACTTCATACTCCAAAGTTTGGTTGGGTAATACAATGAGGCTTCTGTCCCTAGTTGTCATGATAAGTCTACTTCCTGAGCCAAACGAAATGTGATTGATGGCGAGTTTCTCAAGTTGTTCCTTATTATCTACGTCGTCGAGAACGATCAAGACTTTCTTGTTAGAAATTCGCTTTGTGATCTCCTTGATCCCATCGTCGACATCATTGATTTTTTCATGAAAGCTCGAACCAAACATGATAGATAATAGTCGTTTCTGTAAAGTTTCGAGGGACTTGAGCGACGTTTGCCGGACATCTTGGACGAAGCAGCAATGACTGAAGTGGGAATTCAGTTTGTTGAACACAACCTTAGCGAGAGTCGTTTTACCGATTCCGCCCATTCCATGGATAAGTACAACGCGCATGCCCTGGGAGTCCACATCCAACAACTTCTCAACGTCTTTCACTGGATCGTCCATTCCAACTAAGTGCTGGCTTACTAATTTGTCTTTCGTTTTCAGCTTCATCAAAATCTCCTCTATCATCGATTTAATGAATTTCCAGTACCTGCCACATTAGTGAATCATCTAAGTCGAAATTGCAAAAGATAACCCTAGGACACTCAGCAAGAGGTTGCTATCTACATGGCTAGTACCGCTTACTGGATTGACTAGTGCACCCAAAAGGAAGAGACGTTTTAGGTGCTTTGGGAATGCGGCTCCTATGATTTAAACAAATAGTCATGTACCGAATATCATGAGCCTTTTTTATGAAATAATAATACTTCCAACTGCCGATTGACATGAATGGATGGGAAACTTGCTCCAATACCATGGAAAAATCTCTCGAAAATGAGAGAGAAGGTAATTTGAAAGAAGGTAATCCACAAGTAAGGAACACAAATATATATAAATATATATATGAAATTAGATCGATCAATGAAAGAACTACAGGAAAAATAAAAAAATATGAAAGAAATACTCCTTGAATTTATTAACCCATCTCCCCCTTCAACCTTACCCAAAAGAAATAGAATTTTGGCTAAATACTTTACCCGGTTCTTGCTTTGTATGGTTTGGATGAATGACATGGTTGATTCTGTTACCGAAAAAATGTTTTCAAAACACACATGGTATTCATTCAATTTCAAACAGCCTAAACGAGATTATCCAAGCATGGGTATATAATGAAAGTCCTAAACAAAAGTTATGGAATCAATTTTTTCTGTAATCTGTCAAACTGACAAGTATTATAAAGAAATCAGGAAAGAAATTATGATATCATATTTGTAAAATATTTTATATGATGTTTTTTGGAAATGTAGAAGAATATGAGCATTAATGAAAGTGTATTCAAGATATGGTAGACAAGATTTATGAGAAAACAAATGAGACTTACTGAAAAAGAAAAAGAAAAATATTGACGAGAAATTGAAAATAGAGATAGAGAGATCTATTCTTCTCATTTGGAGTACAAACTTCTTGTTTTTAGTCTATGGATAACGTTTTCCGTCATCCAAACGTTGAAAAGTCCGAAAACAATTTCTCGAAAGTGGTTTTTCGTTAAATAAACGAACCCTAAGTTAAAATTGTTAAAGATAACCTCAAGACACTCGGCGAGTGATTGCAAGCAACATGGTTAGTTCCACTAGCTGTGTCAACGGGCCGTTTCACTTTGAGCCCCACTAATAAACGACCCGACCCCGACATGAAGTGAATTTATTTTTCAAAATGCCTTGCTCAGCCACCACAGCCTCACAGCTGCCGCCGCCCGCCACCGTGGTTTCCGATCAGCAGCCGCCGCGATGCCCCCAGTTCCAAGCATTGCCACTTTGCTCCTTCTCCTCCCCAATTTCCTCTGTCTCATACGCACCCCACCGCTCATGGCATCTCGCTTCTCCGTGGAAGCTGAGGGTTCTCTCGCTCAGCTGCTCTCCTTGTTGAACGTCACCCTTGGCCTGCCGTTGGGGATTTTGAGCACGGTGTCCGAAACCAGCACCGACTCGTGGTGGAAATCCCAGAACCTTCGAGAACCTCTGCTCGCCAATTCACTGTCACCGTCAGGTGAGAATCAACTCTCATTGTCCGCGGTAGCACGACGTCCGAACGAGGGGGAAGAAGGACCGTGCATGCTCGGGGAAGCAGGGTGGCAAGAGGAGTCAGCGGCTGAGGCGTGGAGGAATTCAGTGCGGGCGTCGTTACAAGAGATGAAGAAATGGCCGGAGGCGTCGGTGGAAAGGAAATCTCTCGGAAAGGAGAGAGAAGGTAACTTTCAAGGAAAGATATATGAATTTAGATCCATCAACGAAGGAATTAGACGAAAAACACAACCAAAAAAAAAAACGAAAGAAATACTTCCTTGAATTTTTAACCCATCTCCCCCCCTCTAATTTTATTTGATTTGGATGAATGACATGATTGATTCTTTTACCAAAAATAGTTTTCAAATCACAGATGATATTCATTCAATTTCAAACGGCCTAAACGAGATCTTATCCCAGTTTGCGCACATAACGAGAGTTCAAAACATAAGTTAAGAGCACTGTAGGACACCCACATACCCTTGATCTTTCAACTCCCATCCTTTGATGTGGGCGACAGTTTTGAGGGCATCCTCCCACTTTAGCCTCATCTCAAGGCCGAACTCCTTCTCATGCTTATCCAAAGCGCCGATATACAGTTGAGACTCCTTCATCTTAACATCGCGGGGTTCCACGTCATAGAAAATCGGCATAATCTCCTTCTCGGATGCTTTGGATTTCGTGCACTCCTCCACCATGTGCGCAAGTTCACGAAGGCACCACGCACTCGAAGCGTAACCTTTAGAGAAAATGGGTATGTAGATCTTTGACTTTTCGATGGCCGTCGGTAGCTCATCAGCTATTTTCTTACCGACGTGGAGCTCTTCCTCGTCGAGGAAAACACTGATGTTCGCCTCTAGCATATTATGGTAAAGGCAATCGGTGAATCCTTTACGAGTGTCTGGCCCCCTGAAACTTAAGAAGACCTCATAGTCAATCACCAACGGCTCACCGCCACTCGTTCTAGCCTCCGAGCTCTTTCCCATGTCCATTCTCACAAGTATTTTCCGCCCAAGGGTTTCCTCCGTCAAGAGCACCTGATCAAGAAAAGCTCGCTCACTTCGTGTTTGTATAAAAAGAAGACTTACCAGCCACTACTGAATTTCGTTTGTATTGCGCTTGAGACCTCTCTTTATTCCCAGAACTTTCCCTAGTTGAACGACCTTGGAGTAGTAGCAACGATTTTTTCCCCAGTCGAGTCTACGTCAACTCGTAGCTTTTTCTCCCGGTGGGCTCCGCTTCTTGTAGACTTGACTTTTTACGAACTCACGATATGCAAGTCGTTCTCAATGGATATCAAATATTGAGGAAATTACAGTGTTTTTTTTTTTTTGGTAAGGGAGGAAATTACAGTGTTAGTCCTTGGTGTTTTCAAGATTTCATTTTCGGTCCCCGGCGATGCTTTGCTTTGTTTTTGACGGGCACGGACAACTCGAGATTACAATTATATTTTACTTCCTTAACTCTAATATTTTTTCAGATGCTGGTTTCATACTCAAGTGATATTTTTGAGATGGATTTATGATTAGATTTATTTTACTTGAACAGTAAATTTTACCGTTAGTTTGGAGTGAATTTTATACTTTGTTTTTTCTTTCTTTAATTTTGCAGCACTGGCACCTTGACTTTCTTTTATCTTAAGCAATTGAATCTTTCATATGAAAATGTTGACATGTACATTCACCTGCAAATTTTTTAATAACTCGCCAAATTTTAAATAACACTATTACTAAATTTGACCGGAAAGCAAAAAAGTAGTTTTTACTTTTTACAAGGCCGAACAAAAGAGGCCCTGATCTCTAGGTTGTTTTTTGGATTTTTATGGTTTGAATTATAGGAAAAAATGCCTCTTGAATTTAGATATGAAAATTAAGATTTTTTTTCCCTTTTGCACTTTTGCGCCTAGTGATCGGTTCCGGGCCCTTGATTAAGCATTCCGAGTTTTGCAGCCACAGTAAGAACACCAGGAAAAAAAAACATTTTAGTCGTAAGAAACAGCTAGAAATTGACTAATATTTGCAATTCCAGTACAGTTGATGACCTTCAATTTTCTGAAAAAGGAGCATGAAAATTCCCAATAAAAGTGGAAGATTTCTTCATGGATTTGCCAATCAGCTAAGATATTTTGCATATTAAACTGTTGTAAAATAATCTTCAAGATTAAGTATGCATCTCGGTGGTAAGTTAATGTGATTTCTTGCACATTGTTTTGTAATAAATTGTTCTCGAACAGATAAAACTGTTAGACAAATTTTAATTGTCTTTTTGACATTAAATTTTGAATTTTACCATCATAATACATTTCTCAGGGTCCGTTTTTTCGCGAAAAATTTCTTGTTGGAAAATATTCTCCATAATATCCGACATTTGGATCACTTACGAAAATCAATCAATAAAAGATATTCTCATAGTCAGTGGGATACTTATACGTAAATTCAGTATTATGAATTCTTAAAAAAACTAGAAAATATTTTTTGAAATATGGCAAGACTCCAATACTTAGAGTATCATGATTATTCCTTTGAGATACTTTCGATTATACTATGAAAAATGAATTGCAATTTTCTTTCATCTATCGATGCTCGATCTAAGAGAGGGTGGCTATCTTTGATTGGCATTTCTTTCTCTTTCTAGAATAGAAATTCTCTCGTCCAGAGAATCTAGGAATGACATTAATTTACCTTAAAACAAAATGCTGACAATATGGCGTGCCATGTGTGAGCACCTGGATTTTTCCAAAGTTTCAATTGCATTAAATTTTTTTATATAAAATATATAATAAAAAAATCGGATTAATTAATTAATTAAAAAATTAAAGTAAAAGGAATTGGCAGACAAAAAACAGCCTGGCATGGACGCAGAAAAGCACAACAAAAGAGAAGAAAAAGTGGGCACGCGTGATAAAAGACAAACCGACAAAAGCAGTGGAAATGGTCCGGATATCCGATTTCTTTTATCAATTCTCAAATCTAATGTCTGCATAAAGATTCTGCATAGGGATTGCATGGCATGCATATTTGCACTGATAAATAGAAAGTGAAAAATAAAGTTGTGAAATTTTCTGTATGTTTCATTGAACTATACATGAGCCTATTTGTAGGTTTTACGGAATGACTATCTCTAGTAATATAAGATTACAATATAAATTACAATAAATCAAAATAACGAGATTATAATTCTGAGAGATACTCATAATAAGATAACGAGATTATTATCCGAGAAATACTCAGAATTAGAATAACGAGATTATGATATGGGAGATATTCAAAATCAGATAATATATTTCTAATACCCCTCCTCAAACTCAAGGTGACATGGAAGAGGTCAATTGGAGTTTGGAGTAAAGATCGTAAAAACGCTCTGGTGGATGTGCCATAGTGAATACATCAGCAAGTTGATCAACCAATGAAGTGGAGACAAGACAAACATTGCCTTGAAGCACGTGAGAGCGAACAAAATGGCAGTCTATCTCAATATATATGGTGCGTTCATGAAAAATATCGTTATATGCTATTTGAATAGCACTATAATTGTTGCAATAGAGTACCGTTCCACCATTCTGATGGACGCCCATGTCCACTAATAGTCATCGCAACCATAATAATTCCGCTATCGTATCAACAAGAGCATGATATTCAACTTCCGTACTAGATCGAGCAACAATAGTTTGTTTCTTGCTATGCCATGAAATAAGTGAGTTACCTAGAAAGAAACAGTAACCGGTGGTAGAGCGATGATCAAGAGGGTCTTCAGCCCAGTCAGCATCAAAGTAAGCCATCAACTCCAAGGTAGATTGAGCAGAAAAGTGAAGACCTTGAAAAAGGGCATCCCCTTGACATAGAGAAGAATGCGAAGAACAGCAGCAAAATGAGTGGTTCGTGGTGCATTCATGAACTAACTAACAATATGGACGACGTAGGCTATATCAAGACGAGTCACGATAAGATAACTCCCCTCTTTATCATTAAATTTGGCATTAGTCTTGATGAGAGTTGTAGGCCCAGTTTGGTTCAGATTTGAGAAGGGGCTTTCGGCCTCAAAAGCCCCTTCCCATAATGTTGAACCGTTTGGTTTAGCTTTCCGAGTCCGGAAAGCCAAATGCTAGCATTTGGAATGTCGAAAGTCCAAAGTTGGTCCGGACTAGCTTTGGGCTTTTAGCATTCCACAAATGCTGAAACTATTTTTTCCCTTCCTAAACTACCCTCACTCAAACTTTAATATTTCGATTTTGCCCCCTTGTTATTGTTCATACTCTTCACCAAAAGGGCGGCCGGCGAGGGCAGATCTGGACAGCGAAGGGCGGGCGAGGGACCGGTGAGGTTTGCTGACCCAGGCGACGGCCACCTGGGGTCGCGTGACTGGCCGACGGCGTCGCCTGGGGTCGGGCGACCGGCCAGGCGCCATCGCCTGGGTCGCTCGACCCAGGCCGTCGGCGCCTGGGTCGCGTGACCTCAGGCAATAGCCGCTTGGGTTGAGCAACACTAGGCGACACCCGCCTGAGGTTGCACGACCCAAGCGTCTGCAGCCTGAGGTCGCGCGACCCAGGCCGACGACTGCCTGGGTCGTGCGACCTCAGGCCTCGTCGTCGGGTCAGGTGGCCCTCACCGGGGGTCGCCCAAGGTTGGGCGATGGCTGCCGACACTAGATCTAGCTCGCCGGCGATCGCCCGACCTCGGGCGATGGCCGCTAGCGCCAGATCTAGCTCGTTGGCAGCTGTAGCCCTTCACCGACTCCAGCGGCCGTAGCCCTTCGCCGGCTCCGGCGAAGGGTACTTTTTTTTTTAATGAAAAAAACCTCCCAAAGCCCATTTGTAAAAAAAAATAACCAAACACTACTTAGGGCAAAGTAGTTTCACAAATAATTTTTTACCAAACACCATTTGCATTTCCCCAAGGGGCTTTCACCCAAAGGTATTTGCATTTCCCCAAGTAGAATTTGGAAAATCGAACCAAACGGGCCCGTAGCAGTCTTATTATCAGTAAGTCCTGTTCGAGAAAGAAGATCAGTGGCATATTTAGCTTGAGAAAGATAATAGCTAGAGGAATCTGAAGTAACCTTCAAGCCTAAAAAATAACTGAATTTGTCGAGATTTTTCATTTCAAACTGTTGACTGAGATACTCATAATCAGAATAACGAGACTATGATATGGGAGATATTTAAAATCAAATAATATATTTTTAATATGCATGATTATGCATTTATAATAGAATATTTGTATAATTATAATTGCCATTTCAGAAAGAATTAGAATTATCCTTGAATTAGCGTAGATGCATATTTAGGACATAAAGATCGTATTTTTTTTTTGTAATTTTAATTGCGATCTTGTATGGATCACATGTAATGAATAATTACATCTTGCATGTTAGTAATTTGCATATTTGAAAGGTTTAGGACTAAATTAGCAAATTGTCAAAAAGTTTAAAACTAAATTTGCACATTTGAAATGTTTAGGATTGAATTGATCACCGTACAATAGATTTAGGATATTTTGGATAATTATCTCCTTTTGCATCAAATGTAGACTAACTATCGACAATTGACTTTCATTTATCTCACACTGGGGAACTTGTTTCCTAGAACTTTCGTTTGCTTAATCTTTACGTGTCTAATAGGAAAAGAGAAAAGAGAAATTTTAAGGGTCATGTCAGGGAGTGCGTTAAAGAGAAAACTTCATACATTAGGAAGAAGGTACACTGATCCTATCTAACAATGTGCTTTAAGACACTATTAACGAAATTTGTTTCTCGATATTCAATGTGTACTAACATCAAAAGTATTCTAATTTATGCTTATATCATGTAATAATTGAGATATTTGGACCAACGCATGATTGCTTCGTGTCGGCATCACATGAAATGACAGAGTGACTTTTGACGAACTCACAATTGTGCAAGTTTCGTTCTCAATGGAGAAGAATTTACTACGTTAGGCCTCGAGCTTTTGGGAGATCATTTTCGACCACTTTGTATTGTAATTTCGTTTAATTTCCTCAACTCTAGGATTTTTCAAATGATATTTTCAAAATTAGGCGATATTTTCTAAATGGATTTATAATTCTGTTTCTTTCACTTGAACAGTAACT